CCCGACCTCCCCACACACGCCGTCCCCAAGAGCCTGTGGACCCAAATAGACTGCTCGGGCTGGCTCGACTCCAAGCCGGCGGGCTCCGTCCTCTACGTCTCGTTCGGAAGCCTCGTCGAGACGAACGAGCACGTGATCTGCGAGGTGGCCCACGGGCTTCTTTTGAGTGGAGTCAACTTCATATGGGTACTCCGGGAGGGAATTATCGGCTCGGGCGATGTTACTAATGTTTTGCCCGTCGGGTTCGCAGACGAAATTAAAGATAAAGCGTTGGTCGTGCCTTGGTGTGATCAAATACGGGTTTTGTCGAGCCCGGCAGTCGGGGGTTTCTTGACGCACTGCGGGTGGAACTCGACTCTGGAGAGCATGTGGTGTGGGGTCCCAATGATTTGTTACCCGCTGACGTACGACCAGCCGACGAACGCCAAAATCGTCGTGGATGATTTGGGGATTGGGATTAGGCTTTGCGAGCGTGGGGGGACAGTCGATAGGGTTGAGGTTGGTGAGAGGATTAAGGATTTCGTGTCCGTGCCAGTCGGGGAGCGGTTGAGAGAGGAGGCTCGAAAAGTGAAGGAGAAGTTCCGGAGTGCGGTGGAAGTTGGTGGCTCGTCCGAGAGGAACTTCGATCGGTTTATTGTCGATTTGAAGGAAAAAATTGCGCTTGGGGGAAAGTGAATAAAATGCCGTTTTTAAAGGGGAATGCATGTGTTGGGATTTCGATTTCAGTTTGGGATATAGAAGTACTTGTGCTCTGTTGTGAAGTTATAGATGATATTGGGGGTCAAGTCTTTGTTGAAGTTAACTTCATAACAATATGTGCAAATGTAATTCATAGTAGAAAATTGAAATGCATTTGACAACTTGTCAAATCTTATTCAAATAAGTTACCCTGTTTACTCGTTTATTTTCCGCATTGTACCCAACAACACTTTTTTTTTAGCCAAATGCACCGACTAATCCGTTGGTCGATCCGGGTTGCACATTTGACATTAGTGGTTGAGTCTCCCAAC